ACCTTTTAAGCTAATATTGTTGTGTTTTATTTCTATGTGTATTAGGAAATTACAGCACATATTCACTCATTAACTATCTTTGGGGGTCATAAAACTCTAATTTATGTTACCCCATACAGAACTTGTGCGCCTACTACTGCTGTATTGTGCATTCGCATTTTTCTGTTTCATGTCCTATTTAATTGGCTTAGTGCGCATACAGGTAGTGCAGTAGTCAAGGAGTGATGACGTAATGTACGTACAGGTGATCGTGACAATTGATGTGTATAGAAAGCAGTTGTTAGTAAGCATGCATTGCGCTCATTGTATGGTCAGTAAACTCCTCTGTAACAAACAAGAGTTTTACTGACAGAGCGGCGCTGAGGCGTCCAACTTTGCAAGTGTCAGAATAAAAACGCGGAAAAAACCAATCTTCTGTTGTCGGGTCCTGCTGTTTTCCTGAAATTCCTACAAACACTATATATGTATTTTGCACACACCACTGAACTTTGGTGAAGGCTTCCCTTTCAGCTATCCACAATGGGGTGTAACACCAGAGCTGTTGAGCCGCTGTCAGTTGTGAGAGGTGCAGCTGGTTTTTAATTGTTAGTTTTTTTGTTGTCCATATAATTTAAAACAGTTTGATTATCAAAACCTAACCATATGACTCCCCGCCATTCCATATCAATTATCATTATTTGAGCATATTCCTGGTTCCAACTCTGTATCTAAGACAGAGTGGTGCTGAAAGCACCACACATTAATCAGTGAATGAGTGCAGGGGTGAAAATGGATCATGACAAGTTAGTAGAAAGGCTGGGCTGTGTAAAGTGTGGACTGGGGAGCTGGGATTTTAAAAGTGCATTGGACAAGAAAAAGCAGATCTAAATAGTAATACTCCCCTTTGTGCACTCTCTGAGCTTCTCTTGTACGAATCCATTCACTCCTGTCTTCAAGGGTGGAAAATTAACAAGGCAATAATTATTACATCATTATATCATTTTAATATCTCTGCACAATAGAAAGTGAGCAACATTTTTTTTTTTTATTATTAGTAATTAGTTATTGTTTTGAAGAATTTAAAGGGACATTCCTTCGGAGCACACGTAGTGTTGAGGCCTCTGGACTTGCTCTTGCTAGAGAGAGAGGGATGGTAAACTACTTGAGATGGTTTTTGGGTTCTTAAACACACAATATATCTTCTTTATGGATCAATAACTTCAAAATAAAACACAGAACGTGTAAAAATGTGAGCAGTTTAAAAGCTTAAAGAAAAGGAATTGCAAGAGATGGGTAAAAGCAGGTGCCTCCATGAAACAAAAAAAAAGTCCACATTGTATGAACAAAAAACAATATCCAAGAAAATAATGTATTATTCTTATTGATAATGGTAATCTACATCATTAGAAGTCTTCTATTTTAGAGACATAAATGTCTGGTGACAGATTGCAACCCTACTGGTAAGTATATCTTCATAGTAGATGTTTATATCGACTGAATTGACATATGTAGATACATTCATACTAAAAAAAAATAAAGATAGAAGAAATAAAAAGAAATTCAGTTAAGCGAAAGTAGCGTACTGCACATTAATTTGTTAAACCAACTCAAGTAATCACTTGTTATATGAGAAATAAACTTCTAAAGGAGTATTTTGTCAAGTTTTGCTGGTTAGGCTAATGTTTAGCAGGAATAAAATGCTGTTTACCTAGCAGTATCTAGAGGAATTGTTGTTGATCAGCATCAAACTTTATTCCTTTACTCACCAACAGCTGTCTCAGGGTTGGAAAGAAACACAGATGTTAACTTCTTGTTTTGCTTTGTATTGTCTATCTACTCTCTTTTCCTCTACTGAAGTTAACAATCGCCTAACCAGCTAGACCCTCAGCTCCGTGTCAGCACTGTCCTCGTCACTTTTCTGATACCGAGTTACTAGACAGCGGTCCAGTCTGCCTGAAGAATCTGCTGCTCAGAGGATGTATTATATACTATTGTCTTGTAGATTCAACTATGGGCTGAAGCTCTTGGCAAACTGGTTAGTAAATGCAACATGTTAATGCTAATTGTTGGTATACAGGCAATAGAAACACTTACAAGTAGCTCCTTTATAGCAATTTAAGAAACAGAGATGTTATATTGTGTTTGGATAATAATCAAGTCCCATTTAGCAGCTCTTGATTGAATTTTTTGTATCAATTCATTCATAAATTAAATTCAAGAGGTAGGCACTGAAAAGGCACATTAGAGAGTTGCCACAGATGCAGTATTTTGTGTGTTTACTGAGTGCTTAATGCTACACTTGATTAGAATGAAATGTTCACATCTGTTCCTCTGTGTGTGTAGATCTAGATCTACTTCATGGATAAAATGGTGTTCCACAGAGTACCGTACCGTAGTCGTTTCTTCTCTGATGTTAAGAGGCTTGTGACACAAAGAGCCACGGAATCTTGCTCCACATGACTCTATCTCTGAGCTCAAAAAAGTGCAGCTCTGGCTCTGATGAACTTTGAGACTTTAGTCTCACTGCCTTTAGCCAGACCGATGCTGTCTTTACAGATGAAGAAGATGTCCAGCAGCCGGAGGAAAGAGAGCATTGAGTGCGATGAACCTGCCCTGGCTGGATTATTGGAGAGAGCGAGAGGCCCTTTGACTGCTGCCTGACCAATATCTGGGATGTCTGAGCCACCCCTGGGCACATTGCGTAAACGCTTTGACCTTCCTGGGCCACACACCTTAACCAACACTGCTGAATCAGCTCTTCACTTTGCGCAACACCTTAGCTGCAGAGGCGCAGAGGCAGCAAGAGGCAGCATCAACAAGTGAATCAATGCCTTTTCCAAAAGCATAAACTTTACTGAGGAACCTTGCCACTCCCTGAGCCACATCATCTGCACGACTATGCTTCTAATTTTAGTCTTCTTCAGGCAAAAGTCCCAGAGGGAGCTGTGACGGACAGTTACAATTTATTATGCCACTAATGCAAAATGTGCATTTTATTTTGTTCATGAAATGACTGTTTACCTTTTCTCAAACTGCTCGCAGATTATCTGGATGGTCTGTATGTATCTGTCCAACTGATACGACAGCACTTCTGCATTCTGGAGTCTGGGAGTAAAGAAGACTCGTGCATCTCTTTTAAACTCGAGGAGGAGGGGGCAGATTAGTCGTGCAGCAGCGATGACAGCCTGAATGTTTTCAAGGGTGATCATTCCAGGTAGAACTAACACCTGGTTTTCCATGAACACGTGAAGTGAGGTGACCGCCAGCTTCTCCACTGCATCCAGGAAGCAGTCGAGCTTCTCCAGGCCTCCCAGAGTGTCCTCCAGCACAGCTGCCAGCTCCTTCTCCAGCTCCTCACAGGTTTGTTTTCCTTTCACCATGCTGTCCATATATTCCAGAAAGGCCTTACCTTTCTCCTGTGACTTGGCAACATGGCTGAGGCTCAGGTCAGTTTTGTCAAACCTGTCTTTGATGTCCTTGATCATCTTGGATTCCTCCTCCCTCGCAAGCACCCATTTAGAGACCGTCTCACAGAATCCTCTCACTGAGGCCATGGAGACGAGGGTGTCTGTGACGTAGTGGCACAAAGCCTCCTGTAGTTCCTTTCTGTAAGACAAAACAACAACCTTGTTTTCTGACCCACTGAGCTGTTATTGTGCAGCAACTCTCACTGAAAGAACTTTTGTGACTCCATCTTAGGTTTGTGATCATTTTTTGTCTCTGTTTGGTTATTTTGCTTCTTTTTGTAGTTGTTTTGTGTTTTACAGAGGAACAGAACATCCAGTTAGGACGAGCAAATGATTACAATAACACACAAAATTTCTACAAACAGAAACAAAGCGACACAAACATACTACAAAGACACAAACTAACTACGAAAAGACAAAATATGACTACTAATCGATCCAAAAAACTACTGACAGACACAAAAAAACGACAAAAAGGAACAAAATAGCTACAAAAAGACACAAAACCACGATTCCAGACACAGACACAAAATGACTTCAAACAGGCACAGACGTGTGCAAAAAGACACAAAACAACAACTACTACTACTACTACTACTACTACTACTACTACAAAGATTGACAAAGAGACATAAAGAGACACAAATGACGACAAAGTGTTGCAAAGAGAAAATAAACGACTACACACACAAAACAGCTACAAAGAAACAAAAACACTACTGACTTTCACTATCTCACCGCCTGGGCAGTCTTGGACTTTATACATTTAGATTGCACTGTTAAAATGGCTGAAGAAATGCTGGAATCATTATTGAATTTTATACCCTCACAAAAAGGTCTGCTCAGGGTGTGTCACTGTTTTTATTTTTCTCTTTGCATTTGCACAGTCTGACCAGCAGATGTTGCCAGAACACACAAGTGAAAAGGTGAGTTCAAGCTTACAGAAAGTTTCATTTCTGTCGTCGTTGTGTTATGTGTAATTATGATTCTCTGTACATGATTATTTGCAGTGTTACAGTGTATATTTAAAACTGTAAAATTATTTGTACAATGATGAATAATACAATCAATGAAAAAACAAAAGCTTCAAGGCTTTTATTTCTCTATTTGTTGCCTTTTTTATTCATTTCTACAGTGGTGGAAGATGTATGTAAAACCTCTACTTAAGTAAAAGTACTAAAATAACAATGTAGAAATACAAGGTAAAGTCCTACATTGAAAGAACAAATAATTATCAGCAAAATGTAGTTAGTAGTATCAAGAGTAAAAGTAGTGGCCCAAATGATGATAAAATAACATACAGTATATGACATTATCAGATGCATAAGTAGCATTTAACTGGTCCAGGTGGAGCTGGTTTTAATTATTTCATATACAATGAAGCAATTTGGTCCAGTGTTTCTCAAACTAGAGGTTAGGAGCCTCCAGAGGGTCACAAGATAAATGTGAGGGGTCACAAGATGATTATTGGGAGAGGAAAGAAGAAAAAACAAAGGTCTGATGTACAAATTTGGATTAACTTTTCAGACTTTTCCAAACAAGTTATTGTGTTGCTTCAAATATTTTTCTTTTATATCGGGATCAAATATCTATATTTCGGTAACCATTCTCCTTTCACCTTATTTGACCCTTTTCTGTCACTCGGTTTTTCTCTTATTCTGTTCAAAAGATTCAAACTTTACCTTGCACCAGACATTTTGTCTCCTTGGTGTGAAGTCTTCAGCTGCTCACTGGGGCTTCAGATAAAATAGAAAAGAAGGAGATTGGACGCTGTGTCAAAGAACACTGAATATGTTGAAAGAACAAAGTCACCTCTCAGAAAGCAACTTCACCAGGTGTGTGTGGTTTCATTTTCCTTTCTCCACATCAGCAAGTTGAATCACGTGCCTGCACTTAACTTGTTCCAGACTCAGAGGTTATTAAGGAGGCTGAGACTGTGAAAAAGTGTTCAGTCCTTCATGTGCTGTCGCTCCTCCTCTTGAGAAACTGCGGTCGGACCAACCGTCAATCACATTTCCATACTCGTCACAGTGAAATGATAAAATGTTTAAAATATGTGTAAAAAAATTAAAAATAAAATAAAAAAATAAATAATAACAATAATAATAACTTTACTATTTTACTTGTATAGCACATTTCATACCAGAAATGTAGCACAAAGTGCTTTACAACAAAGAAATCACATGCACCAAGTGCTTCACATGGAAAGAGGTCAAAAACATGTAAAAGCATTGATTTAAAATGAAAAAACATTAATGTAAAATGAGATGAAATAATAAATCATTAAATAAGAAGACATTTAAAAGAAGTGCTGAGCAGTGCATAAAGCTAAAGTGAAGAAATAAGTTTTGAGCTTTCTTTTAAAAGTGCTCAGTTTAGTTTAGTAAAAGACTCTTCATGAGAACGACTTACAGCGACTGGATCTGAAGACTTGGAGTCTTAAGATACCACACACTGATTTTATCTGCGGACAGTCGACACGAACTCAGCCAGACTGGACCAGAACATGGTCCGATCAGTAAGGCGATTGTTAGGTTTGATAGACACAAGTAGAAGCTTCACTACAGCAATATAAGTGCACAGAAAATAGACATTAAAATAAATGAAAATATCAAAGACTTAAAGGGATGCATGTATTAATTTTTACGCAGCAATACTATGAAATGAATTCAATCTGAGGTATTTATCATTGTAGAAGAGGGAAGAACAACCCAAGTTACAGGGGAAGGAAGAGCGCTTTACCAAGGGCCAGCCTTTATATTAAGGTCACCAAAATGATTATTGTTGTCATCATCATTGTTTTATTAGATTTGTTGTTGCAGCTGTTGTTCCTACTGTCAGTTAGTCTAGGATTTATTATGTTTGACATGTGGGTGTGTGGTGAACATTGTGCAAATATAATGGAGAATCTCACCTAATCTCTGCACTTGTTTCCTGCTTTTTTTTTTTTGGTCTTTTCAGCACAGATTCGCTGGTTGTAGTTCTTCTCTCCAAGTCTGTTCTGTTCCCCCTTCAGATAGGATTTCCCTCCAGTTGAAATTACGTCTCCAAGAGTGGCCCCAAGTCTCTGTGTTAAGCTAACTAGCATCTGACAAGAGCTTCATGTTTAACAGACAGCCATGAGAGTGGTCTCAATGTTCCCATATAACTTACTGCTGAAAGCAAATGAGAGTTTAAGTGTCTCATGTTAATTTAGTGTCACCTTGATTCATTTGAAAATCTTGAAATGGTACCTCATGAAATCCACAGTATTGCTGTGCCACATTTTAACTTTAAAATGGGTCGAATCAAATCTGTCCAAAAATGAAAACAAAAGAGGTGAGAACTTAAAAGTTGAAAAAGTTAAATGAAGGCAAGAAATTATTGAGAAAGAAAGAAAGACAGAAAGAAATGAAAAACAAAATAAAGATAAAGTAACATGAGGAGAGGAAGGGAATCAAGCAGAATGAATGAAACAGAAAAAGCAGTGTGATATTCATTGATCTCGCATCTTGTTTTACTGTTAGAAGCAGAATAAAACACAAACAGGTTCAGTCAGAAGTGAACAAAGTACACAGCTCCATTACTTTAGTCAGGGTTTAGATCCTCCTGGTCAAATATTACTCCAATACAAGTGAAAGTTGTTTTACTTGATTTAAAGTACTGGAGTACTTGATTCTAAAATACTTATGTTGTTCTACATTTATAGAACCTAATGACTGAACTGACTGTAGAATCTGGAGAATAAAAGCTTGTAGAATATGATACAAAGACTGTAGACATGGACATTAAAACAACTGAATCAACAAAAGGAGCCTTAGTTTTTCGTATTTTTTATTTTTTTATTTGTCAGTGATGAAGTCTGGTTGTGTAAACACAGCAAACATTTCAAACTGAATGAATCTTTCTTTATTTCTAAACCTTCAAACACAGACTTCAGATCAGACCATGGTCTCTGCTGAAGAATCTCCTGCCTCATCTTTATCAGAGGCAGCCATGGTTAGGACACTGACAGGTTCAGACATGACTGACAGTGGAGGAGTTGGCTGTGATTGGTTTTTCTCCTGTGATGAACACAGTGTATGGTCAATCACATTTTCCATAGGCTAATAAAAGAAAGTTCATTCAGCTGACTAAAAGCTGCTTCAAACTTCGTAGTATGTGGAGTCAAAAGTAGCCGATAATATTTGTCTTTTAAGCGTAGTGGAGTAAAAGTCAGTTTCCAAATAGCTAATATACTTAAGTACAGGTTTCAAGTAAATGTACTTACTGTCCACTCCTGCTCTTTTATGGTTATCTTTATCTAAGGGGAAGCAATTTATTTTATCTCCTCCTCTGACACCTTTTTTTTTTTTTTTTTTTAAACATATGGACACAACGCTACAGTTTTCATTTCCAGCAGAAAGCTGTTAAACAGTTTAGATAAGAGTTTGTTACTTTAAAAGAAGTAATGTTCTTTCAGGTCCTATTTTTTATTCTTTAGATTATTCTCTTTTTACCCCTTGACAACATGGTGGCCCTTGTTTTTTGATTCACAGGTCTATGGTTCTTAATAAAACAGAGGGAAATAAAATTGTTATCTCTCTATAAATGTTGCTCTAGCAGGTATTTCATGTGACATTTGCCTCCACACACCTTAACCCTTCACTCTGTTTCATAAAAAATGTTTTCCTAAAACATTACTGAGATTTAATTATAATTGTCAAAAGTCTAATGTAAACTTGTGTCTGGTCTGAACATGTTTAAGAACATGTGTTTGGGGGAGTGAAAGGTGTGAATAGATTTTGCAAAACAGTCATGTTTGTCACAGTCACATATTGAGGGTAACACTCATCATTTTTAAATTAAGAAACAGAACAGCTCTTTAGTTTTCCGCAGTGAGTTGAGAGAACAACCTGCGTCTCTCTCTCTCTCTCTCTCTCTTTCTCAAATATTGTAATTCAAATGGTCAAAATCACTAAGTCCATGTCCTACCCGCTGGGGACAGAAGTGCAGTCCACGGTCGAGAACTGCGCTGCCAGTTGTTTGCTTCCTCAGTCCAGACCTGTTCAATTGACAGGCTTGTTACAGCCATAGGGGGCAGCCTTACCACAGAGACCAAGAGAAATGAGAGGCACAACTGAGGGCAGACCTTAGTCACTCAAATGCTCAAATGCCACAAGTGAGCTTCTTCAAATGGGCCTGTATGTACAGCCACAGCCACAGCCACAGCCACAGCCACAGCCACAGCCACAGCCACAGCCACAGCCACAGCCACCGAGCGCAATGAGAGGCAGCAGTGACTGCTGGATGTGGTTATATGGAAGGAGGCACACTCACACACCTGCATTCACTCAGCTGCTGATGTGACACCCAAAGCACCCATTGGCTCAAACCAAGTGAGATTCCCTCCACTCCACCACACACACACACACACACACACACACACACACACATTACATCCCACACACACCAAACCAGTGCCCCGGAATGAGTTAATGTGAAGGTGGCGATACAGCTCCACCTGTTACAGCATCACGAACCAGTGCCATTATCTTGTTGTATTTACAGTTTGCAAATTTGAATTTGTCATGCAGATTTATCAAGGCCAGTCTGACAGTGAGTGTAGAAAGAGACTGATTGGCGTCCTGGCTCCCACACAGTTTCCAGCTCTTGGGATCCTCTCCTGTTCAGTGTGCTTTCTTTGGCTTGATAAAAAGGGCTGGAGGTTTCATACTGAGCAGCGTTGGCAATTTTGTGATTTTCTCGCGAGATTAGGTGACTTTTAAAACCCTGTGGCTACTTTTCTTCATAAAAGCAGGTAGTGACATATCTGGAGACTTTCTGGACAGACTTTATCTGCTCTCCTGTGAGGAGTAATGTGAAGATCTGATGTGGCTCCGGTGTTCAGTGGGCGGGACAGAGCGGTAGCACTTTCAGTCGACCAATCAGCAGCCACACAAAGACGTGAACGGGCGTACCTGACGACCTCATTGTTTTTATTCGAAACGGAGGTTTTCTCCCGATGTGGTATTTAAAAGTCATCGTCGGGTTCCCAGGGCTCATCATGGGCTCATCGACCAGCAGAACATCTAACCAGGGTTCAACGGATCCTGGTGTGTAGCATTAAATACAGAACTATGTGACCATGTACAAGGTGAGATACATGAGAATTATTGCTAAAATATCACGTCATTATTGTGATATCGTCGGATATCAATTAATAGAAGTAGAACATATCTTTAGGGCGCTGACTTTATTTGCAGGACCCATCATAACACGACACAACCTGTCAGTACCATCATGTGTGACTCTCCTATACACACACTGCATAATCCCCAGATGCAAAATACAGGGGCGCCCTCTATAGGCCTTGAAACTTAATAAGCATGCAATAGCCACTCTATAACAATTATTATTATAGTAACTACCTGATGGAAAATCATACATATATATCCAACAATAACATTCAAACTAAATTACATAAATAATGTCTTTTTTAACACCCAGTGTCCCATAATCTCTCATGAGAACTACAAGTCTTCTGTTCTTTAAAAGGGTCTGTCTGTCCACTTGCCGTGGTCGCTAAAACAGACCGCTGGTCACTACCACTAGGGGCGCTGAAGATAGTGGTCCAGACCAGTTGGAGCTCTGTGGAGTGGTTTTTGTGGTTCTCCACCTTGTCCCTTCTCTGGACGTGTTGGCAACTATGTCATACATGAATTTCCCATAGGGCATAAATAAAGTATCTATCTATCTATCTATCTATCTATCTATCTATCTATCTATCTATCTATCTATCTATGTCAGATGATCATCATGCTTTGGTATTAATATGCTCTATTATCGATTAGCCTCTTTACATATTCTTGTTGTTGGACTGTAGATCTATATTAAAGTTTTATTTAACTGTTGTTTATAAATATGAACCAGTGAATCCATATGGTCCTTGTGGTCCGGACCTGTTTGATTGTGAAGAGGGGAATGAGGCGCTGATTCAGACCCCTGGCGCACATTAAATCTTCCTGGGGAAATTATCTCTTTTAAAATAAAGCTCAAAAGGGACGACTAAAATAAAAAGTAGACACAAAATGACTATGAACTATAATTATTATTCTTACATTGTAATCGTTCACAACTACTTTGAATATTGTGTATGTTAAAGCAAAGTTGAATGAGAGAGACGGAGCAGTGACTGCGCGCACTGCGGGTTTGTGCGCCACTGATCTGACAGTGCATGGACTGGCTGAGAGCGCGTTAGGACCGAGCTCTGCGCAGCAAACCGCCGTTGTTGATGTCAGTGACGCAGTTCGACGCGGAGGCACGTCTGAGTTGCCCGGGACAATCCCTCAGATTAGCGCTTGACCCGCAGGATTTGCCGGAGAGGCACCTGATTCACCGGGAGCGACACGCCGACGCAGAACAGACAGAATGATCTAGATTCGGTTTGAGGTTCCAGTGGAGCCCGTTCCACAAGCCTATCCCCGTCTTTTACACCTACATCATCATCGGATGCATTTTGCGCACATGACTCCAGGACGGAATACTTTTAGAGGAGCCCTCTCCAAGTGGCCAAATTGGAGCTATGGCAAATTTTACGCAGAAGGCAAATATGCCGATTAGAGTGTTTGGGAAACTTTTTTGGCGGAGTCACTTTCCTCATTAGTCATCTGAGAACTGATAATGTGTGTTATTCCTGCTGCCGGTGAAAACGTCTAATCCCCTCCTGATTACCGCTTACAGATGGATTGTGTCGTGTCCGCCATCCGGTTGACATCAGGGCCTAGTCAAAGTCATTTAACCGCTATGCTTGCGTCTTGATTGTTGAATTGAAGCCACTTGAGGCAGTTCATCATATTCATCATATTGTCAGCGGCCTCTCCTCCCGGTGCCAGAATGAGGAGAGTTGTGTTGAAAGAAGCCGCCAAACGTTTCCCCTGGCTGGCCAATGTCACTCTGTACGGGTGCTTATTCGCCGGCGG